AAAGAAAAAAAGGACAATATGAACTCATCTACAAAACAGAAAGAGACTCACGGACATAGTAAAAAATCATGGTTATCGGGGAAAGGGGGTGAGAAGGGATAAATTTGGAAGTTTGAGATTTACAAATGTTAACCACTATATAGAAAAATAGATTTAAAAAGTTTCTGCTGTATAGCACAGGGAACTATATTCAACATCTTGTAATAACCTTTTCTAAAAAATATAAAAATGAATATATGTGTATATATATATATATATATATATATATATATATATATGCATGACTGGGGCATTGTGCTGACACAAGAAACAGACACATTGTAACTTCAATTAAAAAAAAAGAATTCTTGAGAAATAAATGGACTTCCAATGATATCCATGGTCTCCCAATTATCTTGCATCCAGGAAGAATGTATTTGCAAGAGTAAACACGGGAAAAATCTGAATGGTTTTACCAAAACAGATTCTGACGTGGGGCCAGATGCTTTTCTGTGTGTCTCAGCCCCTGAACTCCTGACCTCTCCCTGACCACAGCTCATGCTGCCTGCAGGAGGAAGACATGTGCACAAGGAATTGTTCTCCATCTGCAATTACTCCCTTAGAGTCTTGAAGTCAATACTTAAATATTACGAGTGCAGCCCAGTGATTGGTCAATGCCTCCATCAACACACAGCTGCACTATTAACTCAGGGTATGATTCACAAATGATTCTTTTTCTGTTGTAATTGCTAAGAGAGCCCTGGCAATGAACCCAGTCTTTCACAGAAGAGCTGATCTTGGGCCAAAGGGCTGGATAGAATCTCAGGCAGGCTATAAATATACACATATATATATATATAATCTATATCTATACAAATTAATATGGGTTATGGACCTACACTCTACATATCTATATCAATTGGTTTAGATACAGGTATGTATCATCTTTATGTATAGACAGAGACAAAAATGTAGATATTGAGGGGGAGCAGGTAGACGGAATCAAAATACATCAGGAGAACATTCATCTGGGCTTATTGGTATGATCTGTTATGCTGTATTAAAATTCAGTGTTTAAGTTAGAGAAACCTGGGTTTGAATAATGGCTCTGTCACCTAATTGGTCATGTGTCATCTCGGAGACTCAATCAAAAAAGAAGAAAAATATATTTAGATTTGTCAGAAGGAGTAAATAAAGTATTACGTGTAGAGATCATAACCTCAGTGGCTGCCTATAATAAGCACTTTCTTAAGTTTAATTGTCTGAGTCAAACAGACGTAGCCTGAACAACATTATTTGCCATGAAACCATGATAGGGAGGTTTTAACCAAAAGTTCATGGAGTCATGCCACCAAATTTTGCAACGATATTACCGGTACAACTTGAGAAAACTTCAGTTAGAAGTAACACAGCAATCCAGAAACCATGTACACGCAAAGCTTATAATTTAGAATATTTGACTGTCTCTCCTAATGTTTAATAAAACACAAACACACATCCATACACACAGACACATACACAGCATGGCACCAGAGCCCTGGAAGCCCTGCCTGGCCCGCATGTAAATGACACTTTGCTTGTCATTTTCACTTTCTAATGGTTAATGAATTCCATGTAATAACTGCCAGTTTCCCGCCGCCCCTCTGTCCCCTGCTGCAAAAAAGCTAATCTATTCAGAGTTAGATAATTGCAGAGCTGTTGAGACAGAAAAGAAATCGCTGCGTCTCACCGCTGTTGTGCGCCTCCAGCTGAGACGCGGAGTTGACGGCGACCTTGCATAGCGAACAGTAGAGGAGCCGTTTCGCCTTTTCTTCCTCGGTCTCCGCGGAAGGACACGAGTTATTGCCGGGGGCTGTCGTGGGGCTTTTCTCCACTTTGGAGGTGATCTCAGTTGTCATAACACTGCTTTTGCGGACTTCCACAGTTGTCGTCGATATTGCTGGTGTCCCTGTGGTGCTGTCTGCGTTCAAAATAGCACAGAAGAAAAAGGAAAAAAAAAAACAGACAGTGGTATTAGCCTTCCCTATTTGGACACGGGTCACTAATATACGCTCTGTTAATAACAATAAACACGCCGAGCAATCGACGCTTGTCAACTATGCGTCAATCATCTCCCGAGGAACGGAGGTATGGCTGTAGATGACCACATGCAGTTTTTATAGTGATATAAAACATTCAGGCAATTCTTAAAATAGATAACAAACATGATAATTTTTCCAGGGAGTAAATAAACATATTCACAAATTTCTCTTGTTAACATATGGCCTTAGTAGAATAATCTTTACAGCGTATTGAGCTTTGTATATTTCCACAAGGATGGCTTTTAAAGAAATAAAATGGAGGATTAATGCTTTTAAGATATTTTCTTTTTTTCTTTATCATTGTCTTTTTATTTTCCTTCTACATCTCCTTCTTTAACTACTAAAAAAAAAAAAAACTGATCCTGCTGTGCTTGTGCAAAATACAGAAAATGAACCCTGATAAGATACTGCTTTGTTCAGATAAAAAAAAAAATCACTGCCTTATCTGCAAAGAGCTCTATCTTCAACAAGTACAATAATCATCGATACACAAATAAGAGGAATTCTAATCTGGCATATTTATTAAATGCATGTTCCGCACCAGGTTGTGTTCAGGAAGTTCGTGACACAAAAGTATCAAACATCAATGGCCACTCTTTATAAGGAATTCACAGACTGGTCACACCATGTTAATGTCACAGCGTTTCAGAGTGTGATGACGAGGAAAGTGTGGATGCACTGTAACTGTACAACCTTCTGGTTCTGAAATCTGATTCTAAATCTAGAGAGGTCAGCCTCCAAAGTGAAACCAGCTTGTCCTAACTTCACTCGGGTATACACAGCTCCCATCCCAAATATGCTACTTAACACGATGTTAGCACCGTTTGCCATATCCAAAAGTGAACTGCCAAGGAGCATTATGCCCTAACCTTCCTACTCTTAGAATACTTTTTCCTGCCTCCCAGCTGGGCTACTTCTTAACTACCTCTTCAAAATATTCCCCGGCTGCCTCTCCAGCTACAGCTGCTCTTGGAATTGTGTCTTACTCCATATGCTGTGATGGTTACCATCCAATGCCACACTGAAAAGTCCACGATGAATAGAGTGGGTGGTGGCTGTTAACGATGGGAGTCTACCTGCAATGAAGTGTTGTCCTCATAAACGCTTACTTCGTGGTAGTTGATGATCTCGAGTTGACTGCAGTTACAAGATGCCTTTCAGCTTGGATTTCCCCTTTGATCCAGAAACAGAGGAGGAGATGTGCATGAGGTGGGTTATGGTTTTTTCCCAAATATGGCATCAGAAACACTAGTCAATCAGAAGAGAAATGAGCTCTTGTTGAGGGCTATTGTGTAAAACAATTCTTCTGGGTCTTTCCTTTGCCTGATGCTTCATATACTTTTAATTACTTATTTCACTGTAAAATCACTAAGTAAATCCCTTTCAGTGGCATGGCGAATACATCCACCAATCATGTTACCAAAAAAAAAAAAATCATATTGCTATGACTAGTTTATCTCATGGCTAGAGGAAAATAAATAAAATTACCCTAACATCAAATGTTCCCACCAGAATACATTTATTTCCTGGAAGGCTGAAAAGTCCACCTCCTGATTAGTGTTTACTTGCCTACTAAGGTCCCCATATTAAAATATCAGGTAACAGCCAAGAAGTATTTCTGAAACCTATGGCATAAAACACAATGACCAACTTGAGATGGTCCAGTAGGCATTCATTGCTTCTAGCAAACCAGAAATTATTCTTGGAAAGCATGTGCATGTGTGTGTGAATAATTGCCAATGGCTAACCTGCACAAATGAAGAAATGTCAGGAGTTAAGGAAATTTCCAAAGGCTGCACAAGTAGTATCCAGTGAGTCAGGAAAAGTGTTTCATGGAACGAAGAAATCAGGGGTTTGGGGGAAAAATGTTGTGAGTGATGCTCTTGGCCGTGACTGTGAACCTCTACCTTAAGGTCACAAACGGTAGTGGGCTAAAACCACTTAACTGTTTTGATGATCAGTTCTGTGGGGAGTGACAACCGTAAATACAGGTATACTGAAACTTAGTGTGGTCACAGGCTGGAACCCGAGGGTGATACTGTGGGCGTTTATTTTCATTTAAATCTAAGGATATCCCTAGTAACACCCTGCTTCCAACAACTTTTCCTTTTGGAAAAGGGTTGACAATATTTATTTTATGGCTTGATCAGAAAATTATACATGGCATAGATTATAGTAACCCTCAACCAACTCCTCTATTTGCGGTGAAATTTGTAACAAAGGTATAGAATAAACAAAACCGTGGCTCATCCAGTCCCTATGACAGCTGCATTAGTGTCTTTCCTAGCCCCAGAGGATAATGTACCTTTATACCAAGGACGCCAAAGATTAGAGGCTCCAAATTCTCTATGCCCAGGGCTTAGTGAAGTATTAACATTTCTTAGAGCAAGCCCCTTGCATGAGACCAGCTTAGGGGAATTAGTATCAAAACGCTTCACTTATCTTCCTGGCTTCTTACTTCGCTGCATCTTTTAGACCACACAGCTGAGCAAAGATCTGTTATTTTCTCAAGCTTGAGGCTACTTTGAAAGAAATAAGGTTATATTTTTCACTTGAAATGTAATATATAGATCTTGGGTCCACAAGGTAGGATTACTATTAATTTATAACAAGACATGAATTTTTCACTTACTTTTCATTTATCAGAAGTTAGGGGGACTTTTTTTTTAAAGTAAGGTAAATACATTTTAAGATTATGCCACAAAAGAATCAATTATTTTGTTCAGTTGGCTTTTGATATCTGGGGTTTTGCATCTGTGGATTCAACCAACCGGAGATTACAAATATTTTTTTTAAAAACCCCAGAAAGTTCTAAAAAGCAAAACTTGAACTTACTGTGTGTAGGCAACTATTTACATAGCATTTACATTGTATTTGCAACTACTTACGTAACATTTACATTGTATTAGGTAGTATAAGTTATCGGAGATGATGTTTTTAAAGTAAATGGGAGGATGTGTATAGACTATATGCAAATACTATGTCATTTCATATAAGGCACTCGAGCATCCATGGATTTTGGTATCTGTAGGGGTTCTGGAAACAACTCCCTGTACAGAGTGAGGGATGACTGCACATTGCATATAAAATTACATACAGTGAAGAGATTTTCTTTAATATGGTACATTAAATAACCAATTTTACATTATTCTTATCCACTCATTAAAATATAATTTTGAATCATTGATCATGTTAATAACATATACTCTTGACATGATGTGATGTCAAGAACTACCTCTGTGATCTTCCTCCCCCAAACTCATAACCCCTGTCTAACCATGAGAAAAGCATACATAAACCTAAATTTAAGGATATTCTACAAAATTCCTGACCAGTAGTCCTCAAAAATGTCAAGGTCACCAAAACAAGAAAAGTCTGAAAAATTGACAAGTCTAAGGAGATAGAATGACTAAATATAATGTGTTGTCCTAGTTGGGATCCTGGGGCCAAAAACAAATTAGGTAAAAACTTAGGAAATCTGAAAAAAGTATGGACTTTGGCTAATTAGTAAGGCATTAATATCAGTTCATTACCTTTGACAAACGCTCTGTCGTGATGAGATGTTGACAATAAGGGAAACTGAGAGCATGCAGAGGATCCCCCTGCCCCATGATATTCTTGCACCTTTTCTATAGATTTAAAGCTATTCTAAAATTAAAAGTTTATCCAATTTGAGAAAAATCGATTTATAACTAGTCAACAAGTCATCATTTCAGTTACTTTGCAGAATCATAGAAGGGATCTTAGTGGTTTCACAGTATAGCTATCTTGGATTTTAGATTGGGAAATTTCAGTAAAACTAGGACTTGACATTGCATCTCCCAATTCTAAATCCTTATTGCAATTCCAAATTGTTACTGTAGGTTGCAGTGACTCATGCACTTGAATTTCATCCCATTAACATTCGTTGGGCAGTTTGTTTGTGCTAGGTGTTCTGCTAAGCCACCGGGAATGGAAAAGACAATAGATATCCATCCTGTACTGACTGGTTTGTGAGACATCCCATAAGGACTTGAAATAATAGTAAACGTAATCCTTCAACAGTTTTGGTCATTGCTATACCCTTGCACTTCTACTTGGTATAAAAAAGGCATTCAATAAATACTGATTGAAAAAAAAACAATAAATGAATAAATGAGTGAACATATGAACAACGCAATTATAGTTAATGATGGTAGAAGCACTTTTAAAGCAGCCACAGGTATTAATTCATTCAGTCCTCATAAAAAAAATTAAGAGGGAAATTTGGAGTTTGCGATTAACAGATATAAACTACTGTATATAAAATAGATAAACAACAAGGTCCTACTGTATAGCAGAGAACTATATTCAATATTTTGTAATAGCCTCTAATGGAAAAGAATCTGAAAAAGAAAACACAGTATAGTATATATTAAGTATTATATAACAGTACAATATGTAGCATAGTATAACTGAACCACTTTGCTGTACACCTGAGACTAACACAACATTGAACAACATTGCAAATCAACTATACTTGAATTAAAAACAAAAGAGCTAAGAGGGGCATATCATTTTTATCCTCATCTTAGAGAAGAAGCTGAGGGATGGAGAGGCTTGGAAACATGCCAAATGCCAGAGCCACCAGCTGCAGTGGAATGGTTTGAACTCAGACTCAGTCTGGGTCAGAAGCACATGCTCTTCATTTATTTTTTTATTGTTAAAATTGTGATTTTTTTTTCATAAAAGGATCGACTACACCCCCTTCTGTTAATTCCAATTGGTCATGATGTCTTATGAATGTTTGAAGACAGCATCTTAAAATTTTGACTTTAAAAGAAACAAGACATGGCCCTAGTTAAAGTCGATCATGCATGTCCAATCATCCATTTATGTTCAAGTATTAAGTTGCTGGAAT